TATCACCTCTGCTGTATAAACCCCAAACTTTATCCAGTATGTGTGACTCCCGTTTCACACACTTATTCTTCCTATGTTCTAGTACTTCCTGTTATAAACACTTCCTTCTCGAGGAGTTTCAAACAGCTCACTATGGTGTTTTTTTTTTTCCGGTTTTGTTCTTTGGGGTTTTGGGGGCAGGGAAGGCAGGGGTGAAGGAGGGAGCAAGGAGGATGCAGGTCTGCCGGACTCTTTGATAGATCTTTCAAAATGTTACTTTTTCCTCAAAGCAGTTTCCCTAAGTCTAATAGTCTCCCAAGCTTCCAACTAAAGCAAACGGGCTTTAGCTCTAGCCCAGCTCTACTCCTAGCACGTATTGCTGAAAAGCCTGAACTTCCCACAATGCTACCTAAATTTAAACAGCTAGAATAACCTTTCTGTGGCAACAGGAAAGTGCTGGGTCTTAGATATGTATGCAAGAGGGACAACTTAACACCATTACACCCCTAAATGCTTGTAATAATTTTGCTCTGTTCTGTTCAGATGAAAATAGCAGACAGAAATGATGTAATCTTGGCAAGTGTTATTTTTAATTTCTCAAAATTTATTCCGTAACTATTTTCTTCCAAGCCTCTGTATGCTGAAGCGTGTACAGTCAAGGCTGTCCTCCAGCAGTGATTTGCATTTTTGTTCTATTTTTGCATAAAACGCATATAGGTGGTAATATACACATATATACAGATATATACAGAGATCGGTACTGGTAAAAAGCAATCTCTTCATGAAGCTGAGATATCAGTATAAGTATTTCACTGAAAAATATTTACATGTGCAGGTGCTTCTATATTTAGAGAGGGATTTAAAATGGAGAGATGGATGTCTATAGAAAAGAGCATCTTCTGCCAGAGGATTTAAACTATGTCTTTTTTGAAGACTACTGTGGTAGGTTTAATTCATTGTAGCAAATATGCATCAAGCCTGGGATGACTCTGGGACAAGAGCAAGTCCTGAAGGTGGCTTGTGAGAGCTCTTTTGTGCCCTTGCTGATATGCCACTATCTTTTATATTGGGATTTTTTTTTTTTGGTAATAAAATAACAGAGAGTTGCTGCAAAAAGCTACATGCAAGACTCTCTCCCTATCGCATCTGGCAACTAGATGCTATTTGGAAAAGCCTTATAGCCACCAGAAGCACAGAGCTGAGATTTGTTTTGAATGCCATATTCATAAAAAGAGCTGACCAGCCTGACAGTAACACAGTGGCCAAAGTCCAACTCCTGCTCCTTTTCTTTTGGGTTGGTGCTATTATCTTATTACTTGGAAAAATGGAGATGATGGGTAGGCTTTTTTTATGATGCATTTTAAACCCCAAAACTCAAGTAAAACCATAGTTCTTGCATGTTTTAGTCATATTTGAAAGTAGCTATTAACTTCCCAAATCTTTAGAATGTTTTGGAAATATGTACTCAAGAAATATAATAAAGCGCATTAATTTTTTACATAATGCTTATTTTAAAAAAAAGCTAAATTATGCTCATTATTTTGCTTAGATTTTTATTCCATCATTATGGCACAAGAGAGAACTTAAAGACAACATCACTGAATAAGTCTTCAACTCCATTAAGACTAGTATGTTTTATAAAATTTTTTGATATGATACACTTTCCCTTATCAAGTGATAAAAAGAATTCTCCTAGAATACTGAAGTACATTGCCACCTGCTGGCCATAAACATTTCTGCAATTAAAAAACACCAGAATGTGTGTAACATCAACATTTAACAATGCAACATACAGTTATTGAAAAAGTACTATTTCCTCAGACTTTGGCACAATATTTATAGAAACGCAGCTGTGAGCTTCTCCAAATGTCACATTCATCTCTGAAATTCTGCGTGACTCCCTTTTGTAAGTATCCTTCTGTCTTTAAAGCTTTTCTTTGTTTTGTCTAACTTTCTTAATGCTGAAGCTTTGTTATTTTAAAGGAAAAGCCATATTCTTTCTCAGTCACTACACAACTTACTTAATTTACTGGGTTTGACTTTCTAAAATTGGATTTCTAATTTGGATTCCAGTTTATTCTTTTAGAACAATACATAAAATCATACATTTATAAATACATATATTATATACTGTATACATAAAATTGCTGTTCTTCTAGATTGGGATGGCAGATCTTTGCACAACATCATTTAGTTGGTTTAGGCACGGCCTTGCTCTTAACTGAGTCTCTGAATTGCTTCCTATCAGAATCTAAAAAAATATTTTTACAATCTTGTATCAAATTTTAATTTTGTTTGCAAATATATTTATAAGAAAAAATATTTGGTATTTTCCCCTCTAGCTCACTACTACCCTTATAAAATATATGGCTTTTCATGTTCCACCCTATTTTAGCGTTTTTCCATAGGCAGTGAAAAGAAGGACAATTTCCCCCTTTAACAGATTTTTTTTTAATAAGCACAGAAACCAGCTTGTGCACTTTCTATAGAATTCCAATGCACATCACGGTAATGTAAGTGCAGTGATTTAAAAAAAAAAAGAGCAGTCATGATTGATTGACATCTGCATATGAAAACATAATATATGATTATCATACAATACCCATTACAGAATATACAACCATCAGAACTGCAGATATATAAATATACTTTTAGCAACATCAAAGCAATAGTTTTATCTTATACACAGCATATGCATACAGAGTTATTACACTAAAATTTTCATCTTGCTTTTCTTTCTTAAAAGCTTGCTGCAAAACAGGAACGTACTGTATTTGTAAATGGACTGCTCGACAGTGCTGTTAAGAAATTAAAGTGAACGAAGTTAAAAAAAAATTATATGTAATTTAGTTGGTATAAAACAAGCTAGCTCTCGTTTTCCAATGTCACTGTTGCTTTCCTATGAGAGGCGGGGGCGCAGGTACGACCGGCAGTTCTGCAGAGTCTGATCATACAAGGGTTTCCGGGAGGGCGTCAGGGTTATCAGCGGATAAAAGCTCCCAGATTTGCCACCTCTCTCTTTGCCAATCATGCCAGTCCGGCTCGGAAACGTTTGTACTGTTCTGCGTATGAGCTGCCGTGGAATAGACGTTAGCCACCGGGGTCTGCGGGGCCGGCCGCCCCC